GCATAGATATTTACAATTGTTAGATCTTTTTGTTGGATAGGCCTTAAGTAGGATGTAGTGTCCTTCCTCATCTCTTAATATAGTCTTTGGTTTAAATCTAATTTGTCTGATATAAGGATTGCTACCCCAGCTTTCTTTTGATGTCCATTAGCATGGTAAATGGTTTTCCACCCACTCACTTTCAATCTGGAGGTGTCTTTGGGTCTAAAATGAGTCTCCTGCAGACAGCTATCGATGGGTCTTCTTTTTTTTATCCAATCTGATACCCTTGCCTTTTGACTGGGGCATTTAGCCCATTTACATTCAGGGTAACTACTGAAAGCTATGTATTTAGTGCCATTGTATTGCATGTAAGGTGACTGTTACTGTATATTGTCTCTATTCCTTTCCGGTCTATGTTGCTTTTAGGCTCTCTCTGTTTAGAGGACCTCTTTCAATATTTCTTGTAGGCTGGTTTGGTGTTTGCAAATTCTTTTAGTTTTTTTTTGTCCTGGAAGCTTTTTTAGATCAAGTATTTTTGCAACACTTCCGTAATCACAGTACAAATATTTTATTAGAATTTATTTATTTGAAAGAGAGAGAGAGAGCTGGGGGAGGAGCAGAGGGGGAGGAAGAATCTCAAGCAGACTCCACGCTGTACGTGGAGCCTCACTTGGGGCTTGATCTTACCACCCTGAGATCATAACCTGAGCCAAAACCAAGAGTTCAACACTCAACCAACTGAGCCATCCAGATGCCCCCAGAGTACAAATATTTTAAAGAATTCTAAAACATAGTTTAAAATACAACACAATATATGCTAAGCACCAAACTGTCCTGTCGGTGAGTTCTTTTAAGACATATAGGACTGGAGTACTCAAAGATGTCTTCCTACAAGAGACAGAATTCCCACACAATGTGTTGCAGTTTCCTGTACATAACACAGTAAGTGCTCAGCAAGCAGTTACTCTGATTATACCATTTGATGTTCACTTATCCCATTAGGTAAATACCTCTGTTTGGGAGATGAGCAAACGGAGATTTAGAGAAATTTACTTTATAAGGATCACTGAGTTAGTAAGTGGTTGAACCAGAATTCAAGCCCAAGTAGCCTCAATCAATCTTTACTCATACAAAATGACTAGCAATTGCTGAACATAAGCTCCCACTTTAGGTCTAGAAGTAACATGAAAGCAGGGACCCTGTCAGTCTTGTTCCACTGTGACCCCAGGGTGTAATGTAGTATATAATGTAGTATATAGCACATAGTAGTTATCAAGTAAAAACTTATGTTAATGAACAGATCACCTTTTTTGTCACTACGGTTTACAACCAAAAACTAGGTAACTCAGGGGTTCAGATTCAGTCAATAAAGGCAATAGCTTGATATCCACAATCAAAATGACAGCACCAAAACTTTTAAGTTAAAATAGTGGGAAAAAGTAAGACAAATTTGTGTTGATAGTACACTTTAGGACTATTGATAGACTTTTTTGTAATTTTTCTTTTACATACAGGATCCCTTAGCATAAGACATAGACTATAAAAATGAGAGATGTTTAGGTTATTCTTTCTTTTCAGATTTGTCATACTTACCCCAAAAGGAAAAAAATCTCAAAAACAACAAATGGGGGCCCTTTGATGCCAGTCTTACAGAAATAAATCAAATTACAAATTATACTAAATATGAACATAAAAGTCACTGCATCAACAGCACCTATGGAGTAATGAGGAAGATGGAAACAACCCAGAAACAAGGGTGCACTGATTTATTATGCAAATAAGGACCAGATATTACAAAAGAAAAGAACAATACTGAATTTTTTCAGCCAATGCACAAGGCTGCCTAGGAAGTTCTACCAGAGTAACAGAAATAGAGTGCTATGTTATATTAAAAGCCAAAGTGAAGGTGGAATGCTAAATCTCTTTTGAAAGAAAACTTTCTTGTATTGCCTTACTGTGTGGGATACATACAGGTTTCTTTTAACTGAAATTTAAACTTACACTATTGAAGTATCTGTGGAATTTATTTATTTTTTTTAAGATTTTATTTATTTGACAGAGAGCACAAGTAGGCAGAGTGGCAGGCAGAGGGAGAGGGGGAAGCAGGCTCTCCACTGAGCAGGGAGCCTGACGTGGGGCTCGATCCCCAGGACCCCAGGATCATGACCCGAGCCAAAGGCAGCCACTTAACCGACTGAGCCACCCAGGCACCCCCTCTGGAATTTCTTAATAGCTATATTTTAATATTTTGCAGAGTTTACTTGAACTAAAAGTCTTTTTATTTTTCTTAAATATTTTATTTTTTTATAAAGAGCACAAGTAGGCAGAGAGGCAGGTAGAGGGAGAGAGAAAGAGAAGCAGGCTCCCTGCCAAGCAGGGAGCCCAATGTGGGGCTCGATCCCAGGACCTTGGAATCATGACCTGAGCCGAAGGCAGCCACTTAACTGAGCCACCCAGGTGTCCCTTGAACTAAAATTCTAATTAAAGTAGTAATTAAAGTAATATGTATAATTTTCAAGCTTAAGATGGCAAGATATGAATTGTAGTGTATAAATATTTATAGTTATGTATATTTGATTATATAAATAATACATCCTTTTAGTAATACATTCAAACACTGTATTAAAAGTTGAAAGACCCAGGGTGCCTGGGTGGCTTAGGTGGTTAAGTGTCTGCTTTCCACTCAGGTCCTGATCCCAGGTTCCTGCAGTCCAGACCCACGTCAGACTCCCTGCTCAGTGGGGAGTCTGCTTCTTCCTCTCCCTCTGCCCCTCCCCCCTTCCCACCCACCCACTCCCATCCCCATGCACTCTCAAATAAAATCTTTAAAAAAAAAAAAAAAGGTTGAAAGGAGCACCTGGGTGGCTTAGGTAGTTGAGCATCTGCCTTCAACTTGGGTCATGATCCCAGGGTCCTGGTTTGAGCCCCACATTGGGCTCCCTACTGGTCGGGGAGCCTGCTTCTCCCATCTTCCTGCCACCCCCCCAGCTTGTGTTCTCTCTCTGTGTCAAATGAATATTTAAAAATAAAAAATTAAAGTTGAAAGACCGAAGACTCTCCTCCCCCAGAATCAATGGTAAAATCATGTTACTAGTTTCTTACGTTATCTTGCCCAAAGTATTCTAGGTGCATATATCTGCAAGCACCTGCTGCTGTACCTTACCCCCAGATGTTATCTATTGCTATATTTTTCTAGTTAGCAATATATCTTGAACATCATTCCAAACTGCTTCTAGATATTTCTTGTTCTTTATAATAGCTGTGTAATACTCCATTTAACTACATTCCTCTTTTATGTATTTTTTAAAAAGATTTTATTTATTTGACAGAGCGAGAGCACAAGTAGGCAGAGCAGCAGGCAGAGGGAGAGGGAGAAGCAGACCCCCCACTGAGCAGGGAGCCCAGTGTGGGGCTTGATCCCAGGACCCCAGGATCATGACCTGAGACGAAGACAGTTGCTTAACCAACTGAGCCACCCAGGAGCCCCTATATTCCTCTTTTAATAAACATTTAGATTGTTTCAACTTATTAGCTATTAGAAACTATTCTGTAATACCTTTGTACATTCGCCTCTGTGTGTATCCTATGGACTATTTGTCAGGATGAGGATTTTTAGAATTAAATGGAATACATAATGTTTTTGAAAAGAGATTGCTCTTCAAAACAATATACAAATTTGGGGCGCCTGGGTGGCTCAGATGGTTAAGCATCTGCCTTTGGCTCAGGTCATGATCCCAGGGTCCTGGGATCAAGCCCCATATCGGGCTCCTGGCTCAGCGGGGAGCCTGCTTCTCCCTCTCCCTCTGCCTCTCTCCCTGCTCACGCTCTCTCTCTCTATCTCTGTGTCTCAAATGAATAAATAAAATCTTTAAAAAAAAAAATAAAAAAAAACAATATACAAATTTACACTTTGATGGGTTTTCTTTGCTGGGCTAAGTCAATGTGCTATTAGTGTTCTTATGAAATGTAATTGTGAGGAAGTACATAATTAGTATATAACTTTTGTAACAAATAATTTATTAGTAATCCAAAGAAATAATCTGCCATTAATCCTACTTTTCTATAACTAAAGTAATTAAAAGTATGGGATGTTAAGACAGACATGGGTTCAAGTCCCAGCTTTGACACTTAGGATCTGTGTCATTTTGAGCAGGTTATTTAGTCCTTTTTAAGCCTTGATTTATGTCTTTGCAAAATGGGGGAAATAATAGTGCTCACCTCAGAGAATTATGATGAAGATTAGTGTACAGAATGATTACTGAAGAGACTGACAGGAGTATGTGCTTCATACCTCATACTGGATGACTGAAGTGATTAGAGACGTAACAACATGTATCCTATGTCTATTTTACAAAAACAACAGTGAATACAAAAAGTTCTCTAATAATGAACGGATTATTTTCTTGGAATCTTTCAATTCATAAGAATGTAAAAATCTTCATCTGAACCCTTCACAGTCATGAATTTGAATTTCTGAGCAGAGCTTAGTACAGAACAGTTCATTCAGATTCAGACTCAATCTTAGAGAATATAAAATTCTAATTAAAGAAGAGAACCTCAGAGGCACTTGGGTGGTTCAGTCAGTTAAACATCTGACTCTTGATTTCAGCTCAGGTCGTGATCTTAGGGTTGTGAGATCAAGCCCCACGTTGGGCTGGGTGTGAAGCCTGCTTAGGATTCTCTCTTCCTCTCCTTCCCAACCCCAAAAAATTAAAAAGAAGAGAACCTCAATAATGAGATTTGGGTTGATTAGATTGCAATGTAAACTTGAATTTCTCTAATCTCAGATAACAAGAGAATTTCTAAGAGAGCGTTATAATAATGATGGCTGGTAATTTATAAACACTATTAATTTGAGAATGGCTATAAAGAATCAAGTGTAAAACTTCAATGTTGCAGCTGATTTCAAGCATTTCTTTTAACAGATTTTAAGTACTGAAATTTCCTAGAGGTATGATCACCTCAAATCTCTGTAAATAGGAAACTGAAACATTGAAACATGTTCACTTTGAGACATCAAAAAACATTTAAAACAGGCACCACAAAATGTATTTGTGGTTAAAGGTCAAATTTATTAGGAGATTAAGAGATGTATTATACATGGACTATAAATACTGCACAGCTGACCTTATTCACCGTCAAGCACAGAGATATAGTCAGTGCCAACCTATTTTGTAGATACTCTTGTTCTTTTGTTCCAAGAAAAATTTGCACCATAAGACTTGGACTTGGGTTTTGGAACCTTCCTCTCTTCAATGTCATAGCTCCACCCTAGAAAACAAAAACCCACAGAAACAGAATTAGAGAGGATACTTCAAGAGCACAGAAAGCAGAAGCATTCATAAATTTAATGTTCATTTATCATAAGGAATACATGTCAGCACATCTGAAATATACTAATATTTTCCCTTATAATCCTGTGTGACAAGGGGGTCCAAAATATTGCCTGAAGATGATTTACTATATCTCAAAAGCATAACCCATAATGTGACTTCTCCTTGCTCAATATTCCTTATTCAATTACTGATGGTTACATATTCATGTAAAATTTTCTATTTCTCTATGTCGTTTAATATGCATCTTCTTTGATAACTGCAGTGGGAACACTGAGCAATATAATCTGTCTCACTGTTTTCTAAAGGCTCATGCCAAAAGCAATACAGAAAAGCATACATGGTTATGTGTACATAGCTATGTACAGTTACCTATATAAATGACAGAGTCAGAGTAGACCTAAAAGATTATTTGGTTCTGCTCTCTGGGCTTTGACAGGCTACTGATTAAATTCAAAAACTTTTTTCAGCAAGGGCTATCTATTTAGAATCCCATGGAAGTACTTGATAACAATGCAAATTCTTTGGCCTGACCAAAGGCTCATTTGGTCTAATTTCTGGCAGGGGCTTGGGAATCTGTACGTTAACTACTGATCCTGAGAGATTTTTATGCATAGAAGCTTGAGACTACTGGCCTAAACTGTCTGCTTCTGGGAGTTTTTTTATCTTCTCTCCAAAGCCCTTCTCAGTGTTTTATAATTTTGAAAACTAGATTTATTCATGTCCATGTCTTCTGCTTTAAGTCCAGTTCCTCAGTTCTTCTAAGGTATGGAGAACAGTCCTTCAACATCCTCCTTCCTGAAGATATAATTAAGTCATCGTTCTATTCCCTAGTCCAAGCAACCTCTGTAACTTTTACTTTTCTTCATAAGATACATTTTTTCCATCCCTATAATTTATCATTCTATCTGAGGACTTTCTTCAAATAACTCATCTTGAAACATTTGATCCATGGCTGCTGAATCATGCAGTCATGTATAAAATGTCCAAACTATTACATGTCTCATTAAGTAAACTTCTTGATCTTGTGAATTGTTATGAGTTCTAATGCCTCTTGGTGGATATAGTATTTGCTGCCACAAAAGCTTATATTTCAATAGCCCCTTAGAATGCAATTTTGCCACAAAAGTGAAGCCTGTAAAAATCAAGTCATCAAAGTATACTGCTACTACTGCTTATTTTAGTGTCCAAAAAGAGGAAATAATTCCATTGCTAGAACTCCATCTTCAAAGAAAGTCCATGTGCTATAAGGAAATTGAGAAGCAGGAAAGCAAATGAAACAAATGGTTTAAAAATACAAATGAAACATCAAAATCCAGGAGAGAAAATATTGATTCAATTTACTTGCTTAAACATAACCTTTAACAGAGTAGTTTTGAGTACTTTCTAATCCATTAAAACAGAAAAAAAATCAGAAAGTTATGTCTTACTTTAAGAGGACCTGAACCTATAAAATAACTACATTAACAAGTGGCTATTTGCATTTCAAAAACTTTACTAACAGGCCTAAGAATAGTACCTACTTCATAGGTTGTCATGAGGATTAAACAAGCTTATTCATGTGAATTGTTTAGAAAATACCTGGCACTTAACAATCTCTTATTGAGTTCTATGAAAAAGGTACTTTTCTAAAACCTTTATATGAATTAATATTTCCTTTAACTGAGGAAACTGAGTGGTTAGGTAACTAGCACAAGCTCACTCGGCTAGAAAGGGACAGAATCAGGATTTAAACAAAGAATCTGATTCTGGAGCTTTTGCCTTAATACTGTCTCTTGTGGTTTATAGCAAGCACTTGATAAATAAGCTATTCTTTCTGTCTCAAATTTGATTTGCAACTTGCTGGTAACACATCTTCTATATGAAGTGAAGCATTAAAGTAAATAAAATTTCCATCACATTGAAATCCCTAATTTTGAAATTAACTACAGAAAGGAATTTTGGTAAGCAAATTAATACTGTGACCTGAACATGGTAACTTTAACATTATAGACTTCTCAAGCACTTCCTACATTGACCAGCAAATGATGCTGTTAATTATAAAAAATAATTCAATAAACCAGGTATAGCAATATTTACTGGACATTTGCTATTCATTTAATAAATATTATTGAGGGGCGCCTGGGTGGCTCAGTTGGTTAAGCGACTGCCTTCGGCTCAGGTCATGATCTCGGGGTCCTGGGATCAAGCCCCGCATCGGGCTCCCTGCTAGGCAGGAAGCCTGCTTCTCCCTCTCCCACTCCCCCTGCTTGTGTTCCCTCTCTCGTTGTCTCTCTCTCTGCCAAATAAATAAATAAAATCTTTTAAATAAATAAATATTATTGATTGCATACTCTGTGTCAAGGACGGTTGAGACACCAGAGGTAAAGCAGTGAATAAATTCCCAAACTTCTTCAAGTTAGCAGAAAAGAAATTGATAAGTAAATGCATGTTATACTAGGTGCTAATACGGCAATACCTATGATTAAAAATACATATTTTATGCTAATGAGCCCTAAAAAAAAAATTCTCGAGAGGGTACACAGGGAAGCTCTCCCTCCTTGAGAAGGTCACACTTGACTGAAGATCTGAAGGAGATCAGAGTTAGCCATGTGGATGTCTGGGAAAAGAGCCTGAGGCATGTTCTAAGCCCTCTGCTAAGTGCTTTAGATGTATTTTTATAGAATTTTAAAACTGAGATTATAGGTTGCTTGGCTTATGAAGTAGGCATTATATATGCCCCAATTTTATATTATTTAGGAAAAATAAAGCACAGAGAAGGTAAATAAGCAGCCTAAAGCCTCATGGCTAAGTGGCAAAGTCAGGGTTTTAACCAAGGCTGACTTTAAAGCTATGTACCTAACCACCTCATAAATAAAACTGCATTTCTTTAAAAGCATCTTGTAATTTCAATTTTTATCTATTTCACCCATTTCTTTTCAATCTTTGTGATTTTATAACTCCCCCCCCCCCAATTTTTATAAATGTGTTGAAAGGAACTGTTTCAAGAATGCCTGGAAAGTAAGTCTATGTCTGCCGTATGTCCATCCACCCCCACCCCGGTTGTGGAGAAAGGAAAAGGTTTCTAGTGTAGACTCTATGTCTGGTTATAATGATCGTTGGTAAGTTATCCAAGGCCTCCATGATCTCTTCTTGCCAAGTGATGGGTGAGAGAACCTATGCTCCCTCACCCCTGCTTCCCAACACACTCTCCAGCCCAATAAAAGACATTATAAGAGGAACAGAAGAAATGATAAAGTACTTGGACATATTTAGGAATTGGTATTATACATGAGCATATACCTGATAATCACTCTCTCATTTACATGGTTAATCTGTCTTTCAATCACCAGGGAGAAGAAAATTTTTTTACTGCATCACAACGCAGACATAGCTCTATTATCTGTTTTGCTCATGGAGTCTCAAAATGCTGTCAGGGTCACTGCAATGTGAGAAGACTGGGATTTTGTACACATAAAAGAACAATGGTTTGGGTTTTCTCCTGGTAACAAAGGAGTGACCTGGCTCTTGGGAATTGTGAGCCAGATTACAGTTGCTGTTGATGGTGATAACAACAATAAAAAGAATTATCATTATAGGGACTGGAATGTGGATGGGCAAAGCATCTTGGAAAAACATACATGGAAGAAACTAGCATTTGCTAACAGTATCCATCTCTACATTATTGCTCTACCACAGCCACCCATGATTATTAGGATGTATGGGGGTGGGGGGGAGAATCTCTTTTCCTCACATTTTTCTGTGGGAAACAACTTTGCTCCCAAAGCTGCACAAGCAACTAATAACTTCTCTGATTAAGTAAAAGTAAAGAGGGGCATGAGGAATTCTAATGAGAACTCACGAGAGACTGAAACTCAACTCAGAGTCTATATAAATCTCCTTTTGGATTTTCTATCCATCACTGAGAAAACTTTTCTAGGTAGGACTGATGCTGGGATGAAAATTTGCTCTTTTGGGGGGAACTCTGTTAAGAATCTGACCACATTTCTAAGCATCCTTCTCCAAAGTGTTTACCTTACAATGTGTGGATAAACGATTTTATTGGTCCTAGTATACTTCATATGACAATCTTTCCCAAGTTATTTTTTGTAATATCGTGGCAATATAAAGGCTACTGGAGCAAGCAGTGAGCTTTAGCTAAAAAGACAAAATAACCATAAAAACAACAACAATTGAAAGGACATTAAACATTTGTACTTAATGGATAAGTTACATGAACTGTGCTCATCTTTTCTGCTTCCTATGTGAAGGTTGCTCTTAAGAAAGAACATAATGTAACTTGCAAGAAATAGAATGTAAAAATTTAAGAATGGAATTTTGTGAAATGTTAAGTTTCTATAAGAATTTTCTTTTCAACACTAAGCTTTTTAAAAACTCAAACTCAAGTTTCTGAATAAGATCATGGAAGTGAAAACACTTGCATTCTCTGAAGAATGCTTATACAAAATCAAGGTGTAGTCTATGACAGTGGTCCCAATATGTTGTTCTATTAGGACACTGAAAACCAGCCTTCAGTCTTCCCAGCTGTGCAACAGGAGAAGATCAAAGCAACTGAGTCCAAAGCAGCTGCCCTAGGAATGGGGTAAGCTCCTAGGGCTGCCGTCACTTCCCACTGAGGAGAGCAGCCATATGGCACGGATTAACCACAAATCCAACCACCAGCACCTAAATGATGAGAAGCTGACTCCCTTTGCTGTTTCACACACTGGAATGCTTTCACAAAGATATTTTGATCTTTAAGCCCTAGTATCAGAGAAGTACCTCTGGCAAATACTGTAAACTTAAAATGTGACCTGTAATATCTCGTGCTCAATTTTTTTGGAAAGACGCCCATTTATTTTGTTGATCTCCAGACTGTGGTTGAGATACTCTACTTCCTATGATATAAATGTTTGGTGTAATCTTTCAAATGCGCCCAAAAAAGCCCAAGGCCCAAAA